CGCAAGCACGAGGACAGCCAAATCACGTTTTCTTTAATAACTTCTGTGGTTCTTAACCGAATTTGATGAAATTTTCAACAGTAGATCTGATTGTACTATATAATATTTGTATATTCTCCAAAAGTCAATTGCATTTCATTTGTGGGTTAAATTGGTGGGCAGCATAAATTGGTTTATTTACTAGCTATGAGGTAATAGCGTGGAGGTGGTGATAGTTATAAAAGAAGAAGTTATAGAAGATACATGTCAAGTTTGGTGGCTCAAGCTCTTATTATTAAGAAAATTTGCTCAAAACGGGGCAAGTTATCGAATATCGGAAACAAACTCGTACTGCGTGGGCACTATTAGGACATACGTTTATAATTTCAAGTCTCTAGCTCTTATAGGTTCTGATATCCTTGCGTTCATAAAGACGGACGGACGGAAATGGCTAGATCGACTCGGCAATTGATGCTTATCAAGAATATAGAAGCATTAGACCCCTTATACCCATTTTTAATGGGTTCAGGGTATAAAAAGTTATAGGTGCATCTAATACATTCTATAGATGCTTTACACAGCACATCTCAAATGTTGCCCGCTGGCTTTAAGATGTTGTCTAAAAATCAGCTTCAATTCAAATGGAAGCGAAATGCATAAATTTAAACTTCACATAAATTTGGCCAGAAGAAATGCTATCAAAGATGGCGACAACAGCAGCAACAACAACAGGAACAACAATTGACCCCCATGGAGGACAATCGAAATGCGGTGGACAATCCCACGCTAAGATCCAGTCAAATGCGTACTCGTAATTTGTGCTTATTGTACACTTCACTGGCTTGGACAGCGGGGCGTGTGGTGGGGCAGGGGCAGGGACAGGGGTGTGGCGTGCACCACTTAGGGCAGGGGCAGACAAAGTGAACTGGGAGATTGCCAACTCAAGATGGCAGGCACACACGAAAGAAGCGCGCCAGGACAGCGCGTGTGCACAGCAGCAATTGACAACAACAAGAACAAGCACAGCTGCATGTTGTGTGTGCGTGTGTGTGTGCGTGTGTGTGTGTGTGCGTGTGTGTGTGTGTGCTAATATTGAGGTAGGCTCGCAGTGGACAAGAGTGTGTGGTGTTGGGGCTGCTCAGCTTTAAGCTGAGTGGGGGGGGGGGGGGGGGCGGTTCATTGGGGTCGCCGGTTGCACTCATCAGCAACTCAAACTCAATCAGCTACAACAACAACAAATGTGCGTGTGTGTCTCTGTGTTTGTGTGTGTGTGTGTGTCGCTTTTGACATTTACTTTATGTATTCCGTGTAATCAGCGGCAAACAGCGGGTTGGGGGGTTGGATATGCGGCTTATATACGTGATACGTTTGCGCGCACATATGTGAAATGCCGTTAATTATATACTTTACACTAGCCTACGTGACACACACACGCGCACACACACACACGCACAGACATTGACAGTAAGACAGGCGGCAATTTTAATATACAACAAAAGCGCGTTACATTTTCCATTGTTGTTGTTGCAGTTGTTGTAGTTGTTGTTGCCTGGTGCAATTGTGCGTAGGCATTGCCATACATAGAATTCCATTTACATAAACAACAACTACAATAAATACATGCTGGCGGCATGTGGGCGGGCTGTGGGGGCTGCCTATGTACACAGACACACACACACACACACCCGTTTACATATGCATAATACATAGTTCATACACAAGCATAAACCGCTTTGTGCGCGTGTATGTGTGCTTGCGCGTAAAAAAGCTGCATATTATTTTTTACACGCACAAAAGTATGCAATGAAAAAACCAAACAAACAGTTAATAGGGGGGCGTGTGCGTTTGTGTCGCCCCACGGATTTTGGCATCATTACCAACAGTGTGTTGGTGATGCCATTGCACACCCTCTACCCTTGCCCGTACATCCCCCTCCTACCACTCCACTCCCTTCCGTCAAGCAGCCTCTTGCTTTGAGTATTTGCTATGCAATTTTGCGCTACACGCCACAGCAAAAAAAAAAAACAATAATAAAAAATATTGAAAAAAAATATAAAATAAAATACGCTTTGTATGGTCAACTGTTGTTGTTGTCCGATTACAGTTGATTTGCATTCTTCATGCACTCGAAAGTGCAACGAGTTGTTTGTGCGTGTGTTTGTGTGTGTGTGTGTGTGTGTGTGTTGCTTTTTGTTTGAGTTACAAGTGCGAAAAAATCGCAACATATTTAAACAAAATGCATATGTAAACATTGAGGGGGTTAATGCTTTTGATAGGGATTAGAAAATTAAAAGGGCGGCTGAAACAGGACTCAAATTGTAAAATAACATATTTAAATGTGGCACCCCAAAGGCACTTAAATGGGTAAACAATTAGGGAACAGTTATCTTCGGGGTGTCAACGGTTATCGAAAATAACAGGTGTAGTTGTGATATGTATTTTGAAAATTACGAGCAATGCTCGTTTTTAACTGATTTTTATAGAAACAGGCATACGATATTGTATTGCAATTAAAAAATTTTCAGCCACGTTAGGTGCATTGCGCAATCTTGTAATTTGGTAATTTTTTTAAATATCTTGAAAATAAAAAACTTTTAGAAAAATCCTAAAAATTAAACAATATTCTTAAACTAAACTTAATTTTAACGAGTTCGATAGATGGCTGATAGCGATAATATGATGTCGGAATATTAGAAAATAGGTCAAAGCTGGTAACAAGTGAGTTTTGTCAAGATATATTGAATAATCCAAAGGGATTTTTATAAAAAAACTCAGATAGTTCCTATGGGTATTTAAAATAATTGTCCGATCACGCGGACTCTCATATATGTGGCTTTCAGGATATATGCGAGAGTTCCAAATAGTTTTAGAACTGAGATAGCCGGAAATGGCTATATAAAGAACCAGAATATTGATATAGAACCAGAAAATATACTTTATATAGGTGGAAATCTCATTATTATTGTGTTACACTGGCAAAATAAAAGGGTATATTTCTTTTTAAAACGTTATCAAACTTACAAGAAAACTTGCGTAAGCCCAGGCGAATCCGGATTATAAACTGGCGTTTAAATATTCTATTTAAATTTGCCTTCTGAAGATATTGTATATTTCGTATGATTTTAATCGGTCTGGCGCAAAACCTGCAATAATAAAAATATAAATATTCGATATAATACACATTTTTTATCAAACAAGGACTTGAAAGCATAGTTATCTGGAATATTAATGCCATTAATTTTTTTCTTTCTTAAAGTTTATAATTATTATTTTGATATTTAAAAATAACACAAAAATATTGGTTTCTAAAGCAGTTCAGGACGAAAATACTGGGTGTGCTTCCCCACTATATTTTTGTCAAGGGTTCGTGTCTATGCTTAAGCTTTAAGCAGCACATATGCGCAGCCAACTTCATGCTAGAAATTATTTTGCGAGCAGCCAAGTTCAAGGCATACGGCAGAATTGCGCAAGGCGAAGTTGGCTCCGCTTGCGAGCAGCGCAAAACAGACACGTGCGATATGCGCCAAATGAGTCCTGCTTGAAGTTGTCTGCGTGGAAATTCAGCCACCACTTGGGCCATTGAGTAATAAATAGACAGCGGGGGCTTTTGGATCAAAAACTCTTTTTCAAAATACTTGATGCGAGATACCGAGGTTGCAAACACAAGACCCGATTGTCTACAGCTACTTCTGCTGCCTTAAAATTCAAAGACAACTTCAGAACACTTTCTATAAGAATCAACTACAACCATAATCAAAACAAACGACTCGACAACGAAAAAAGCAGACAACAAAATACTCAGTCCTTGCTATCCCTTTTTGTTTTAGGCTACTGCGTATGATCTAAGCTACTGCACTCTTCTAACTCATTGTGGTTTCTTCTAAAGTCATTTCTTCTTCTACACTCGCTTTCAACTTGCACGCAGCCAGGCAGATTTTGATAATTTTTTAATTTTGAACCTGCAAAGCACCCTTTCTCAAATTTGGGGTATTTTAACTTTTGATCAGAGCTGTAACCAAAGACCACTAACCTTTTTATAAACAAATTTTAATCTAATCTCCGAGAAAAATATATAATAATTTCGTATTTACTGTGCAACTATTAGTACAATCAATAATAATTGTTTTTTTTTTTACATTATACACTATTACTTTAAATAAGGGTAAGATCTACGCTTCGATGCGCCCAATTGTTGTTGGCATATGTGTGTCAACTCACTTTGCAACAAATCTGCATGTATATGTCTGCCAAACCAAGGGAAGGTTATGATTTTAAGAAGATTGCAACCTTTTGTTTCGCATATGACGTCACAGCTTAAGGCGTTTTGTGTGCGATCGTTGCTTACAGTACTGTATGAGTACATTTTAAAATAAATTCATTATTATAAAAGACTTTTTAAAAAATTATTTGAATCTACGTAATTAAGGTAGAAATATATTCTAAACAACACAATAAATAAAATTCTATAAAATATGACGTCATAACATATGATGGAGCGCGGTGTGCGTAATCCTTTGATTTGTAAGCCATGGCCTGCTTGCATTTGAATTTTCTACCTAATTGTGCCAAATAGAACCCGACAGAGAAACCAGCAAATAAACACAGTGGGAATATTTGTGATTATTCTTTGCACTGAGTTTTCTATGTCCTCGGCATCTAGCATAAACATCTCGGTGATCAAGACGGACGACGAAAATATTGTTTCATGCGCTTTGTTTTGCAAGTGATTTGTTATTGCTTCCTATTAGCTTTATTTTTGTGTTTGATTTTGCGTTTGCAACCAACCCAAATCCACCACGCATGAAGTTTACACCGGTAAAAAAGCTCAGAGTGACTTTTCATCTCTTTCTATTTATTACTTAATGCACTTGAACGGCGATTCCTTTTATAGATAGACGATTGTGCCTGCTCCTCACTATCTCTGACTCCACACTTGACGAAATGTAACGAATTTTATTTTGAATTAATATAAAATAAATTAGTAGTCCGATTCCATAAGTTAAAAAACACACCATATGAAACGTTATAAAATTTATTTATATTAATGCACAGTTTTTGTTAGTTGTTAAATTGTAAAACAAATCATTTATAGACTATAGTATTTGAAGATTATTGTTTCCTCTCTTCTCGTATTAGTAGTTAGTTAAAGCCATCCTTAATCCTTAAACGTTAGCAATGTAAGAAACAGTAAAAAATTTGATTAGTTAACTTGCTTATTGTATTAGTGCTATGTTTTTTTTAAGCTCACCTCTTGCCGCTCACCGCATGCCATAAAGCATAGGAAAAGTAATTTATTTGGTATTAGTTTTTTCTCATAATGTTAATTGGCTAAATAGGATATAAGTGAGGTGATTTTCGCATGCATTATAAATGATAGATAAATGCAAATCTAGGTGCAGAGTAATGAAAAATATATATATGTTTATAATTGTAGGATTGACAATATTTTTGAGTATTGTTTCTAATAGTGATAGTGGAATTGGAAGTAGGTAGCAGGAATAAATAGAGAAATCATGCCGAAATTGTGGATAATATTCTATATAGGAAAGTTATTTCGATTAAAAACAGATTGTCAACTTGTACGTTGGAAGATATAGTATAGTTAAAAATTACTTTTATACATACACGCAGCATCCGCTTTTTGTCAGGTTTGCTTGATATATACTTTTTTGTGTTTGTTTAATATTTATTTTGTTTTATGGCTGTTATGAGAAAATTGTAAAGGAAGGACATGGGTTTTTTAAATTTCTTTCAGCTGGTTTTGTTGACAAACTGCGCGTGACATCAGAATTTTTTTGCGTAAAATTTACTTTTGTTTGAATCTGAATATGACATCAAGAGCAATTGCGACCTGATGTGAAATTTTACCACTTTGAATATAAATATATCAATAGATATTTCACTATGATATTTCAATTTGTTTTTGTTTATGTTTGCATTGTTTGTTATATGTATATTGATTATTATAAAACTAAGTTTTGGCTTTTACAATGTATTGATTGTTGTTTAAATAGATGATAGCATGAGTTTTTTCGAAATAATAAAATTAAATGATCGAGTTTTTGTCACAAAGATTTGCGATTAGTGTTCTTGCAATGAATCATGAATGTTAGTTAACTAAACAATATTTACATTAAACTGTTCCGGTGGTGTTTATAATACATTGCATAGATCTTACATATACTTAACCTAACGTCACGGCAATTACCTTTCCACTGGACTCAGGGTCGAGGACCTGCAGCAATCCTTATGATCCTTCGGGTTGTTGCCATAGCTGAAACGTGCTTTACCAATAAGAAGAATTGTTGACCCTCAGCTTAACTATTGTTGTTCGTTTTTTTTTTTTTTTGGGTATTTCTGTCAAAATGTTTCTTTTTATATTTTTATTATTGAATAATAATAATTAAAATTTTACAATTGTTTTTCTTGGGGTTTTTGCCTTTCAATTATTTTTTTTTTTTTTTTTATTTATTATTATTATTTCTATAATTTACTATTCAGGTCAAAATGACCAATTTCAATTTTTCTAATTTATTATTTTATATAATTCTGTTTTGTGTTTGTTTTTTTTTTTATTATTTTTTTATTTTTGGTTTTGCTTTAATTTTGTTGTTGTTTTTTTTTATGCAATTATTTAAATTTAAATACTAATAACGACATAAAAAATCAGCGCATTTTCTTTTTTTTTTTTGTTTTCTCATTTTTAAAAATTAAGTTTATTTTAATATTTTCTAGTTTACGATTTCTGCTTGTCTGCTTGACTTGGTTTCTTTTTTGTTTCTTTTCCACTTTTGACTATTTTTAATGTCTAATTAAATATTATATTAAAGTTGTTTTTATTTATGTTGTTTTAGTAGAGAAAGGAGCATGGTTTTCATTTGTGTTTTTTTGTTTTCTTTTAATAAATATATACTTTTATGTATATTTTTTTTAAAATTCATTTAAATGCAACTAGTTTTTAGGAAAAAGTTTCATCATTTGCTTTTAAATATTTTTGCATTATTACATAGTACGCTAAGTTTATATATATGTATACACATACATATATTTGTTTTCAGTGTAAAAAAGAAATGTATATATATATTTATATATATAGTATATATATATATATAAATATATATATATATAGATATATAGATGCACACTATATATACGCATATATGTATGCATGACGAAAGAAACGTTATCCAAACAGTTTTCTTTATGTACTAGAAATGTATTTATATTGTTTTTATTTTCTTATATGTAGTATTAATCTCTTGATCTGCCTGCTTAAGCTTCTTAGAGTTCTCATCTTCTCGGGTGCAGTTTTTGTATTAATATTTATATATTTTACTTGGGTTCGTCTTTGCACAGAGCTGGGGCTGTCTTTCAATTATTTATGGTTTAGTTTAAATCTATTTGCTGACTGTTTAAAAATTGCTTATGCTTAGTTACAATCGGTCTGTTTCTTTGTTTTTGTTTCTGTCAATTGATAAGATTTGCGTGTAATCCCTTTATCGATTGCTAAGCATTACTTTGTTGCTGTATTCTCAATTACAATTGTTTTTATTTAGCTTTATTCTCAGCTGCGTTCAGATACTAAAAATGAGCTCAAATCATGGAAAATGTTATAAAATATTAAAATTAATTATTGTTATTATTTTTCATGCTGGCAGCTTGTTTGCTATTTTTTCTTCTCTCTCTCTCTGTTGTCTTCTATTATTATTTTTAATATTCTTTTGTATTACGATCGAAATCGTTGTGTGCCATTCAATAGCAAATTGTTTTGGGTACAAAAAAAACATATTTTTGAATTGTGATAGAAATTAAAAGTAATATATATGTTTTCACCTTTTATCAATATACATAGATAACATATACATATATGAAGTATATTCCTCGCAAAGATAAGTTATCAGTTACTTGTTGTTGTTGTTGTTATATCAAAAGCTAAAGCTTAACTTTACTAAGCTGTCCCACAAATTTCGACATTCTTAAAAAACACTACGATTTCAAAATTTATTCCAAAATAAAGTGCACTCGTATTGGTAAAAACCGAAAGATAAAAGATGAACTTAACTTTTGTAGAGTTTCAAAAATGTATTTGCTTATAAATTGTATCAAAAGTGGTTTATAAAGTTTTAAAAAAATTTGAAAATGAAAAAATTGAAACAAAAAAAATTGAATTACAAAACTTAAGACGTTTTTAAGACCTTCCCCCTTAGCTCGAATTCTAGTCATTCACTCAATATACGAAAAAACCTATTGCTTTATGTTTTGTTGGTTTTTGTTCTTGAGCCCTTTGATAGAATCTTAATTATTTTTTATGATTTATTTGTGATGTGTAATTTGTTAAGCTAAGTTTAAACATATGACATTCCTTCTCTTCTCTTTTTTTGTTTTTTTTGCTTGTTTTGTTTGCTTTTGGTAATTGTATTGTTATTTATTTATATATGCAAATGTATGTATTTGCTTTTATGGTTAATGTTGTTTTTGTTTTTTTTTTTGTGGTTGTTCTTGTTTTTTGTTTTTATTCTTTTATATTCAAAGAAAAATTCTGATTGTTTTCAATGCACAAGATTTACAATTAGAAGCAGAATTGCTGTAACTTAAAAATCATAAAAGTAAAATGTTAAAGTTGTGAAATTTTAACATATATCGTAGTTAAATTCTGTTTAAGGCATGTTGAAGCATTTGAGTTACCCGGACTTGGTATATAATGTATTTCATACCATTCCAGACTCTCGCTTGACTCACATGCAGTTTGTAATTTTTAAGATTTTCTGTAGCTTATGTGTTGCATTTTTTTTTTCGTTATGTATAGAAATTGTGTGCTTGGCTAGTTTGTGGACAGTAACATACGACAAGATCGTGGATCTGTGAAGCTTGTGTGGCAACATCTGCAAATAATTGATTATGTTCGTGTATGTGTGAAGCAGAAGACTCGTGAGTTTTGAATCTGGCTTTCATTATTTGTGATCTCTTTTTTCTCTATATATATATACACATATATATATATGAATTTATGTATGTACCTAGGTATAAAGCTCTCTTGTATGTTGTTGTGCTCGCAAACTAGAGCAAAGCACATAATTTGCCATGCACCGGACATGTTTTGTGTTCTATGATGTTCATTGTTATTGGTATATTCTTATGTAATTTGTCAGTATTTTATGGTATTTTTGTTGTAGTAGAAAAGTGTTGAATCGCTTTGTATGCATTTTGGTGTTTGTACCAAATTTCAGTATTCCGTATTTATTTTATTTAAGTTTAATTTTTTTTTAATATACAAATAATAACGAATCAAAAAATGATATTTGGATAGTAGAAAGAATACCGAAAGTTGTTAATTTGTGTACTGTTTAGATACACTCGCTGTTCTCAATGCAATGAAAGAGCGAACTTTTGCCTAGAGGTTCGTACCTTACGCAATAGATCGATCGATCATTGTTTGCATCACCAAAAAATCATGCAATTCATCAACACGCAGATATTATTGCTCGCAACCATTTAATTTATCAAGTTCGCCTTTTTTGATGTTCAATCAATTTGCTTTGCCGTTCACATTCAAATGTAATGCATTCGATTACATTTCATTTGCTGTGCACATTCTGGGCTAGGTATTTTTTTTTGTAGTATTTTTTAATACACCGCGTAAAGATCTTCAGTATTTTTTATACACTGCTCGTTTTGTTCTATTTGATTAAATTTTGTAATTCCAATTGGGTTTCGTTTTGCAATTCGATGGATGGGTTATTCTATTGGTTTTGTATTGCTTTTAGCTTTGGGATAGGGTTTTTTTTTTATTGCTCGGTTTTTAAGTTGAAAATAAATTGGTTTTTTTTTTTTAGGGATTTAGGAGGTGTTTACGTACAAATGTTTGGATATGTAGGTCGTCATATTGGTTCTGTTTAGAAATGCAGTTTGTTCTAAGTATGGGACTCTAATCTTATATTCTTAAATCATGCAATTCCTTAAGTTTTTATTTTATTTTATTTTTTATTTGGAATTGATGTTCTTATGAGAAAAATCTGAATCTGGAAAAGCTACATAAACTGACTTGAATAATATGCTCAAGAAGTTTTTCATTTTTGGTTTTTTGGTTTGCTTGGACTCAGTACTTCTAAGAATCTTGCTGGAGAGCCAGCATAAAAAAACGTTGGGTTTCGCCTACCATTTGGATCCATTTAATTTCTACTATGTATTTCCCTTTATAAAGCTCAATACTATCAAATGAAATTGAGCGTATAAAATCGAAGTCTTCGAAACATTTTTATGTAATACTGCAATTTCTTTGAAGTTTACCACAAAAACCTGGACAATTTTTCATCTGTTTTGTGAAAAATTGCCCCTAAAGTGTAAAATATACAAATCTTTAAAGAAAATATACCCGTGTCATACTTGTCTTTCATTTTTTTTTGTTTTTTTTTTTGTTAGTTTTTTAAATATACTAAATGGAAGAAACTTAATTACTTGGTTTGGGATTTGCGGTTTGGAAATGTTTTTTTATGGGTTAAGGGTTATTTTTAGTTTTTGTTTTGGAATTTAAAATATGTAATCAAATTTAGTTTATGTATTTTTTAAGTCTCTTTTGTGTTTTGTTTAAACGAGATTCATTTTGTGTTTAAATTATTGTTTTTAATGTTTTTTTTTTTTATTTTTTCTTGGTATTATTTAGTCAATGGTTTTTTATAAGTGTTTTTTCTCTTTTTTTGTTGGCTTTTTTTTAGTTTTTGGTTTTTTTTAAATGTTTTTAAATTTACTTAAAAAGTTTCGTTATTAATTTAATAATTAACAAATTGATTTTATAATAAAACCAATAACAATAACCACCTCGCCCATATGGCTACGAGACAATAATATGTGGTGCTGATAGTAGTACAGCTATTGTGGCTAATATTGTGAACATTGTGAATATGATAAGGCACAGTCTGTCAACGACCATAGCTGCAAATTTCCAATCATTGGCAATGTCATTGTCCTCGTCCTCTTTACGTAGCTACATAATTGCAATTTGACAGTTTTAACAATGTTTCGTGTAGCATTATTTTTGTTATTATTCATTATAAATTTGATTGGTTTTTAAATTTTATGGAAATTTGGAGAAAAATAGAAGGAAAAATAATTTCGTAATGGTTTTTACTAATCAATCGAGCTTTTATAAACGCAGCTAAACTATGGTTTATATATTAAATATATATTAGTTTAAAATATGGTGCAATTAAGGTTGGTGTAAATTTTTAACTTGTAGCATTTGTGTACATAACAATACATTTTTGGGACTTAGAGCTAAGCATGCAATCAAACTTAAACTTTTTAGATATTCGAAATTGGAAAATGAAAGTTATAGTCAATTATTTATTTATATTAAATAAATTTGCTGATATTTATTGAATAGCTGCCATTGATATTAAATTCTATTCTTAAAAATTTTCAATGAAACTTGCAAACTGAAAAGAAATTTGCACAAATTTTCGGACACACATAGAAACTGGCTGGACTTGAGAATATATAACACCCATGCCAATATAAAATGTTGATTGTTCCAACCTAGCCTGCGACTAACTTTGAGATACGGCTTTCGACATTCACGTACCGGTTCAAACCCTGTTCCTTTAAATTATTTTCTATCTAAACATGAAAAATAATTATAATTTTCGGAGCCTTACGAAACTGTACGACAAATGCCTACAAAGGTATTAAATCTTCGAAGACAGTTTTTACTTTTACTTTCCCGATTTTTTTTTTTTGTTAATAATTTCTGCCTGCACTCTCAAAAGTAAGCTTCTCAGATAAGTTAAAGTTGAGTTAATCAAAATATGATATATTCAAACGTAGACTATGTAGTTCTTTGGGTCGTTGACAACGACAGCACTTACCTGATCAGTAATAAAGCGAATTTCCTTTAAGATTAAACCTAATTCATATTCTGTTGATGATTTGATGCACGTATGATGTGTGACCGCATCGGGCATTCGTGTGCTGCCAATTGGCCCAATGCTGCCGTCGTCGCCTTGCCTGCAACAAAAAAGGGGTTTTGCAGTGAGAAGCGGAGTTTATTGGTAAGCCACTAAAATGAGATTAGCCTGTAGGGGTGCTTTTGTCTGTCTGTCTGTCTGTATGTCTGAATGTGTGGGTGTGTGTGTGTGTAGTTGTTGTTGTTGTTGTTACCCATAAACCGTGCGATAGAATGCCGGATTGTGTGGCAGTGTTCCGCCGGGCGTCATGGGGCGACAATTGTGCCGAAAATCATCATCAATGTCGAGCACATTGGCCAGCAGCGACTTTGAGGAGCTTCAAAAAGAGATTATATTTAGCATATCGATAAATAATTGAATTAAGTACAGAATTGCATGACATGATAGAATAGTATATAGTACCGCTCTTTCAGCTCAACATCGGATAGTATCTGATGCTTGCGCTCGGATGAGGTATCCGAGCAGGGCGTTGTCGGGAATTCCAATATCAGCGGTCGTCCCGGTCGACTCATGCGCAATATCCATGGCAGCCAGCATAAAAATACGATGCGTATCTGTATGCGGTGGCAAGGTGGCAGAAGCAGCAGCAGGTGAAAATTGAAACGTTTAGTAGACGTACGGCACAGATGAACTCGACTCCAAATGCGTGTAAAACGAGTATTTCAGGTTTGGCGTGTGATGAGCTGTGCGCCAGTGTGGCACGTGTGTTGGTGTGTGTGTGTGTGTCTGACCAAATGTGTGGCATACTTAACTGGGTATGTAAGGATTTATTGCGCTTTGCCATGAACAAAGACAAGGACACACACACACACACACACACTTGCCACACATTTATGATTTATATTTGATTTTGATTACAACTAAAGCAACAAATATGCCCCCATCGAGAACACAGTGGTTGTTGTCAGTGCTGTCTGCCTCCCAGTGTTAATAGTGTGTAATTAGTGTTGGGTAACGTGGTGTTACACTTAGCTATAATAATATTTATGTGCGGTGCCTTTCGTCTGTTGCTCTGCCGCTTATTTATAGCTATGTTGCATGCAAAATTTATGATTTACAATAAACACGTCACAGCAACAACGACAACGACAACAACAACAACAACAATAACGACAATGACAACAATAATAACAATAACATTGATAAGAATTTTGTATTATATAAGGCAGAGACCCATATAAATAGACACACTGATACATATTCACACGCTTTTTGCTGCTTAGCTCTATGGGTTGATAGCTATAAATAAGCATAACACTCACACGCACTCAAAAACACTCACAATCATACTCATATTGACATTCATTCACATTTGATCTATAAATGCGTGGAGAATTTTATTTTGGTGGTCTGCTCTTTTTTGATGCAACCTGTTTGGCTAAAAAATTAATTATACATTTTTTAAATAAATAATTGGGGCAGTATTTGAATCTTAATGTATATTTCTTTATAATAAAATAAATAAATATTTTGGTATATTATTTAAGAATTAATTATATTTTCAAATAAATATAAGTTGTTGCATATTCTTTCGACATATGTCTAACTAAGTAGTAAGTATATATATTGTTAAGTTTATATTTTTCATAATAGTATATATATTTATATATTTAGGTAACTAACCACTATGCCTTGAATACAATTTATACTTAAATAATAAAGATAAATTGGCAAAATTCTCGACTTAGGTATTCTCCAAATAGATATTTTTCTTAATATATTATAGATATTTCTGATATATTATATTGAAGGATAGGATAGGCAATTTTCTAGTGCTTTATCTTCTGCAATCTTAATAATACTATTTATCTTCTATGCCTTGATTTTATGTGATTTATGCTGTGGCTAAGCAAACAGTAAGAGCACAAGCATAGATAAATATTATTGCATTCCTAACAATCAATCTACTGGTAAGACCCCTCGTAGTACATGCCTCCATTAAATATTCCATAACATTGTTTACTTTTGATTAAAGTTCAAAGCGCAGCCATCGAAAGAAACAGCTAAAACCGAATCGATTGTCATGCTAAGCTGCATTTCATTCTGTGACTACCCAACTTTTTTTGTTGCTGTATTTTTTGTATTTTTGCAAACCGAAGCCACATTGACATCTGCTGCAGCGAACAGTCGACCCGCCCAGCCCTTTTGCCTCCCTTGTCTCCTTGTACTCCTTTGACGTTGGCGGTTTCGCTAACAAGCGATGGATACATGGAAGTGCGCTTGAGGACGTGGCATGCAAACCAAATGCAAAGTTTTGAATGCGATCCAATGGAGAGCATGGATAGAAGGAGTAGCAGCATTGAGAGTAGGTAGGTGGTTTCTGGTAACCATATATCGCCTGGGTCTCGCCCCACAGACCACAGCTGTGTTCTGCTACTGTGTTTTCTCCTCTCTCTTTTTTTTGGTCGCTGGCTTTGTGCAAATTTTGTGCAAATTGATTTGTTGTTATCACATAGAAGTTAGGTTTACAGGAGGGTAGCTGGGGCGAGGGGCAGAGCCCTTGTAGATGCCATGCCCTAAGCGCTGCACATTTCTAATGCACCTGCGTTGCCAATTGGCTCAATTTTCATGCCCGTGTCACGACAACTTTTTGCAACTGGGCCAACTGTCGCCTGCCACAGTGTATGTGTGTGTGTCTGTGCTCGTTTGGGGGCTTTTCTTCAATTGCTCCAAATTCAATTGCATGTCGAGTCGGCACAAGCGCCTGTCCACATTCTTGAACAAAAAAATAGAAAACTTTTCGTGTGACTGACTGCTTAAAAGCCAATTGACTTCCACAGAGCTGCATTCAGTTTAGCGACTCCTTTTCTTAGCCATCTTGTGAGCCAACAACTTGTTCCTATGTACTGTACACATACACAAACATACACACGCGTACTACTCGCGCACACACACATACACACACACAATCCGGGAAAGGCATTGCAACCTTCCATTAGGCTCTTCATGCTATGGCAATAATGTGCAGAAATTGCTTTCCACTTGACGTCTCGGCCATTTTCAATTGGCACAAATAAAAAACTAGCTCATGATACGAAATTTAGACGGGCATCATACTTGGCTGCTGATATTCTAATAATATTGCCAGCGAAACGAGCACTTATCATGGAATTGCTTTCAATAAAAATTCAAAATAATTTCAATAGCCAATTTACATAATATCTAAATAAATTAGTCTACTATACTATTGACTTGAAATGTCAGGTTAAATAATTTTAAAAATAAAATTACCCTTAATAAAATTATATAATAAAGTAATATTATTTTGCTATACGAATTATTATTGTTATTATTATAATTATCATGGTATTATAATTATAACTATTACCATTATTATTATTATTACTATTATTATTATTATTATAATTATTATTATTATTATTATTATTATTATTATTATTATTATTATTATTATTATTATTAATATTATTACTTTTTTTTATTATTATTATTATTATTATTATGACTGTTTTCATTATCATTAGTATTATTTATTTTATTTGTTATTACCATCATTATTATCGTTATCAATATTATTTATAGGTTTTATTATTGCCATTATTATTAATATTATTATTATTATTACAAATGATTCGTTTTTCTTGGATTCGATAAAATATTTTAACTTGCGTTATTGTCTACTCTAAAATAATATCTTATGCTAATTATTAATGCTTAATATAAAGGACTATTCAAATTTTATAGCTAATTAATTTTATAACTTAAAATTGAACAAATTTTATTGTAAACATACTCAATAATACCCACCCAATAATGAACGCAAGCCACATCGAACATTCAACATTCTATACATCTACACATAGAAAGCTATTTACACAAGTTAAAGACATAGTTTAAGGATTTCCGATATCATGTGACAGCATATATTAATTAAATTGGGCTGCGCTTTTATCTGTTAGAATATACGAGAGTACAAATAGGAAAAAATCATTGTGCAACTAGTTACTGGTGGCTAGAAACGAGCTAGGGGCTCCAAGTGAATGGGGTAGATGGTTTGGTTTGGTTTGGTTTGATTTGGTTAGTTTGTGAGTAGGTTGGCGTTGCTGGAAAAAATGGGCAGGCTGTGATGGATTGTACAGACAGAGAGAGAGAGAGAGAGAGAGAGAGAGAGAGAGAGTGGCATTTGCTTATATAAAGAAGAAAATTATGGGCCCAACATCAACATTACGATATTTTTCATTACATAAATTATTTTATAGTAGACATATTCAGTACTCGTCGTAGCAGACATGTTGGCTAGTCATATTAGTTACAACATTCATTTTGTACTCTGTACATCCGTCCGTCACATTTGAGGCTCCGTATTGAACTATATATTTTTTCTCTTCAGTTGGTTTTTTTCTGTTTTTATTTTCTTTTTTTTCTGGGTCACACACACATCGACTCCGTCAGAGTCGGCTGACATTTTTGGGCTTTGGCCAAGTATATGTAGTTCTAAAACAACAAAAACAGCTTGCATAAGCGCCTCTAAGTAGGCTTTGAATTAACACAATTATAAAAACGATATACGAAATACACAAAAACAAAAATTCTGTGTACGCAAATCAAAAAAACTGTGTTACAACAACAACAACAAACGGGGCAGAACAACAATAAAATCACAATCATAATAACAACAATTAATATAAATATATATATGTATACATATATAAATATGTGTGTATATTTGGATGGGTATGCATGTACTTTTGGTGCAGCAACTAGAATAATTGCATTTAGCATAGTATGTTATATTTTTTTGGAGGTTTCACCGAGATTTCATGAACTATGAATTGACAATGATGCGTGATATCTGTGATACATATGAAACATATATATAAAAATGTTTATATATATGGGTTCGCCTATTATTATATCAAAACGGATTTAAATACGTTCCCAGTCCCTCTGCTCATTTGTTTTTGCAAATAGCGGAAAATCGTTAGCATTTTGCATAGCCCAAAAAGGAGCGCTAAATCGTTAAATCGCGCGTTTTATTCTGCTTTGTTTAGCGTACTCTACAGCTATTTTAATGTATTTAACATGATTTTAGAATTAATTATGTATATAAAGATACACTTTATGGTGCGCTCAGCCGGAAACACTCCAAATATATTCGGCTTTTAGCCGCAAAATTGTAAGCCCTTGCCATTTTGTTGGACTCTACATTTAAAATTCAAATTGCTGATCAAGTTTGTGGCTTAATTTTTGTACTAAAGCAAAAACAAATACACAATATATTGCATTAAGAGAAACAATAACAAATATACAACACAAGTTACCGGGGCGATAACTAAATAAAACACAAAAACATTTCTCTAAATAACACATAAATTATTTTAGCACATCTCTCAAAACAAAAGAGAAAAAAATAAAAATAAATGATGAAAAAATTGTAGATGTATATATATATATATATATATATGCAGTTGTCTCTGTTTCGTTTGTGGGTCTAGCGAAATAAATCATATGAAAGAAATGCTAATGCCATGGCGACTATGTATGGGTGGTAGCAGCAGGCGGCGCGGCAAGTCCAGTGCCAGGTCCTTGTTTTGGTTCTGGAAATGGCAATTGCGCCCATTGCTGCCGCTGCTGCTACTGCTGCTCATAATTCTGCTGCTGCTGCTCGAGGCAATGATAAGTGATGGGTTCACATTTTGCAGTTGTTTTGTTGTTTTGTTAGTTGATTTGGATACGAGTTGTTGTTTAGTTTGGTTTGGTTTGTTTTGGTTTTGGTTTTGGTTTGGTTTGGTTGACTGACCCATTTGAAAACTTACCCATTCGGACATTTCGTGCGTATCAGCATTTCGATGATGATAATTTAATATTAAAATCGTTGACACAACGGATGAAGCTACCATAAACATTATGCAATTGAAATATGTACCTGTTGGTTGGTTGGGCGTGTTATCATTATATATATGTATATTATATATATATAAAATAGTTTATCGTTTATCGTTGGGTGTGTATCGACAGTTTTTAGTGTGATTTGTTGTGGTGCAAATGGTTTTGATTGGATTCGTTTCGGTTTATTATTATTGTATTAGTTTTGTTTGATTTGGTTAGTTGTGTGTCGAGCATAGTTCAGGGTAGCATATTTCGTTCAGAGTTCATTCAGTGTTTGATATTTTGTATTCATTTTAGAGTATTTTGGCAAAAGGTATACAGTTTTTTGAAAGAAAGAAAAAGAGGCAGAGATATATACAAATATTTTAGTTAGTATTTATATAAAATGCAATATCTTTGTTCTTATCATTTTACATTTAATTTTAATTTATTTGTATTGATATGAAAATATTCCTTTAAACACACACACACACACACACAGTTAACTTTAAGTTTACATTTCTGTTAATAATATAAGTATATATTGAATTAGACACCCAAAAAAGTACGCCATAGAAACTGAATTAGATAGTTTAAGTTGAACAATAGGTTTACAAATATATGTATTTGATTTGAAGAGATTTTATTATTAATATTGAAATACGAACAAATTTAATTTTTGGTTGAAAGTTTGCAAATTGAATTTTAAAAGAATTTTGCAGAAAATATGAAAGCTCAATTGGTTGTAATTTTAAAGTAATTGTATTTATTACGTATCGGTTGTTTCTTAAGCAATTTAGGGGAATCGCTTTAATTCTGAAAAAGCATTTATAGGATGAATCGCAATAGATATAGATAAACACTTAACAATTGTCAATGCTACGTTTACTACTTTAACGGAGCATAAGTAAAAGGTTCCCATTTGGTTAAGAGAATCATATTTAATGTGATAAATACTCATATACTTTACTAAAAATATGAATTACTATAAACACACTTTATAAATCGTTAAAGATTTAAAAAACTTGTAACTGATTTTATGTATTTTTTTAAATAACTGCAGTATTTATCTTGCGTTCAGAAACAACCTATACATAATTTTACATCGTTCGAATGAAGTTAATTAATTTGTATTACAACCCAAAAGGAAAGATTATAGCGTGCAAGTAACTCGTTTTCAAATGTGTGTGCATTTTATCAAACCAACTCGTGTGTTCTGTGTGTCACAACTGAAATTTACGAGTATTATTCTTAACGTTTCTTTATATTTTAAATTTCTGTATAGGTTTTAAGTATTGATTGCATCATTTATTTGCCCTACGAATTAGTTTTTTAATTACTTTTCTTTCTCTACGGTTTTTTAGACTCTTTTTTTTTTAACATCAGCGCGCAGTTGCTTTGGCCAGTTTAAGGTCAGACGATTTTGCCTGGCAAAATAGTTTGACTTTAAGGCCAAAGTAACTGCTTGAATTTCAAATAGGAGCTGATTATATTTTGTTTATTATTTTTAAATTGTGTGTCAAAGTTTTAATATTATAAAATCATCGGATTTTATTCGGTTATTAAAATCGTTTTAGAAATGCATGAGTATATGAATATATATGAACGTAACTTCAATCGAAACTTTAGAGTTATGATATATAGGCTCTTTAATATGATACTAAAGACTGTAAACAAAAGAACACATGAACTAAAAAAGCAAAGTCGTACGAAGACACAGCGATAATACTAGTATACATATGATAAGGATATTACAAGGATTACATAGATATATATATATATATATATTTAGAATAAGCAATACCAGCAGCAAATATTGGCAAACAAAAAGATCTTACCTAGCAGAGGCACGGCATCTGAGGTGGCCGGCATTGTCTCGGCAACCATATTGAGGAACACGGTCAGCGAGAGCAAAATCGTAACGCCTAGATATCAAAAATAAATATAGTAAAATATGTGTGCCAAAAAGACAGCTACGAATTGTTAAGTAGATTAAATAAGGCTTGGGTAAAGATTAAAGCTAGCCCATGGCTTGGCTTAGGTTAAAGTTAATTGTACAGACGCTTCAATTAATCATACTTCAACTGTTCCAAATTCCATCGGCATTAGTGAGAGCTCATCATCAATAACTGTTTATGATATTCAAATATTTCCCAGCACCTTTCACTTACATCCAGCCAACCCACACCTCTTTGGCGGCATATTTTAAGGTCCTTCTGAACATAGCTCACGTTTTTCAAGCCCACTTTTACAGCCCAGCCATGGAAACATTCTCAGTTCAATAGTTTGTTTTTACCAGCCCTTGGCGTCATCATCACCCATCATCATCGCGCTCTCCCCCCGCCTGGCAATAAGGTCTAATGTGCGATGTCAGCCAGGCTCGAGGCTCCTAGCACTCATCAACAGCGCGGGGGAGATTTTTTGCTCAATCTTATAGTCGAACTGGGTGGTGGATGTCATTATTGTGAAAAGTACTTGGCAAATACTTTTGAAGGGCCTCTCAAGCTGCTGCCATTTGACAAGTATTTGTTTTATATAAGTGAAAACTCGTATTAATTTATATAACTATTCGAGTATCTGATCGAGCATTAAAGTCCCTGCTCGGGCGCCTAATACTTAAGTCCCTACCCGGGCGCCTAATACTTAAGTCCCTGCTCGGGCGCTTACTACTTTAGTTTCTGCTTGCACGCTATTATTTATTTTCTTTGATTATTTTTGAAATTCTTTGATAAAATTACTTACCCAGCGACAGCTTTTCACCCGAATCCGGCGGCAGGGTGAATCCCAGCAGAGCCATGGATGCAATCAGCACACAGGGTATAATCAGATTAAAAAAATAGTACAATGTACGTCGTCGTATGATAATGGCAAATGTGATGTCTATATACGGTTCCGGGCAGCAGTTGTAGTAGATCTCATTGCGTTTGCCGGGAACACCTAGGAGTAGCGCGTTATCGTGCCAAAGATAAAGATATTAGTAAATCCAATTCTACCAAAATATTTACAAGTCTTTTCATTTTCGTTTCTTTCTGTGATTCGTGTCAGCTTTTACTTGGGCCTTTGTCTGAGCTTTATGTCTATTTCGAGCATGGCATACAGGCAAAAGAGTAAGTAGTAATAGAGAGAGAGAGAGAGTAAGTATTTGGAGAGAGTAAAGCGTGTGTAGAGTAGTTATGAAAGAAAGCGTTAAGAAATTTGAGTAAAGTGAAGCGTTTGCATTGCAAATGCGTGTGTATGTGTGTGGGTTAGATTATGAATAGGTTATAGTCTATAAGAAAGTACGGAATGATATATGCATTGAGTATGAAAGCTTTGGTTTCTGTGTGCATGCTGTGGTTTCTTTAAGTGTAGCCAAAAAGTTTTGTGTATATAGACTCTGTGTGTGTGAGTGTGTATGTGTGAAGATACATATACGCGTAGCTATAGTTTTTGGCAAAAAGTTTTATTTGCATACGAGCAACTAATTTGAAGTAAGCGCCGAGGCAAACATGTTTCCAAAAACTTTTAGCACTTTTGCTTGAGCTGCAAGTAACTAGCAAGTTAGTTAAAGTAATGCAAACGTTTAAGTTGAGAAATTGAAGGCTGATTTCTAGGCAGGTTACTTCGGCTATATCTAAAGCAGTTCTGTTTCTATCCATTCAAAAAACAAACCCTTAGCTATAAAGTGCACTAAGGTAGGTTGCTTGGTGTTGTTAAGTACCTTAATTCCATTGAAAACCCTATCTCTTAATTGCTCTCAACTTTCATAGCCCCATATACTCATTGAAAAACTTTTGGCCAAAACCATTTGCCATATGCCAAGGGCTGGCTAAATTATGTGCACAACTTAAACATAGATTACCAGCGGGATTACACAGACAGCGCACAAAACCGTCTTGATAAGTATTTAAAAATTACCCAGCTAACGTTAGCGTTGCGCGTTTTGAACGCTGAGAAAATTGTGAAAACTGTGGAAACTCCAAAATATTTGCATAAACTGCCAGCCAAAGGCGGTTGCCACGAATGCGCACTGAAAATGGCTGCTCAGTAAAAAAAACACAGGCGAACAACTTAAGAAAAACTCCCAAAAAATACGCAGCAAAAAAAATAAACAAAAAAAAATTTATAGAAAAAACAAAAGCCAAATGAAATCATGAAAAGCAAATAAAAATAAAAAGCCGTAGCAAAGAAATGCAGTTAAAGAGAGCACAACGAAAAGTAAAAAAAAAAAAGCAACCAAAGCGAAATTTGTTGCACAAACTTTCTCAGCACTTTTGTGTGCTGTGAACTTTTGTGGCCAGTGTTGAGTAGAGAATTCTATTTTTTTTTTTGTGTGTGATTGTGTGCAACTGCTAATTTATAGTGCTGTGTGTGTGAGTGTTGTTGGGAATGTATTTGTATTTGTCTTTTAATTTCTTAATTGGTTTGGTGCGTGGTTGTACCCAACTGAAGAGCCAAATCTCTTCCTCTATCGTGTGTGGGTGTATGTGTGTGTGTTTAACAAAAGTTCAGCTCTGTGTGGTGAGTGGTGGTTGTGGTGGTCGCTGTGATGGTGTTGGTGTGGGTGGGTCTGCGCATATAGCTGTCTTAGCATTTTATGCGGAAAAGTGCAATTTACGCTCTTGTGTGCAAGACTGCTTCTCCCTTTAATTTCTAACATTTCTATTTCGGGTTTTATCCATTTTCGCAGAGTTATTTCTATTTTCTTTTTCAAGCGTTTTTTTCAGTTCAACGCTTAGGAAAGGAATCTCTTATTTAAGTAAGCGCTAGGGAAGTAATCAAAACTAATGTCAAAACCAATTAGGAGTTGTAAAAAGGGCACAAAAATAGAGCTAAATTATTACCAAATAGATAATGAGAGGCAATTAGAGGGCTTGCAGGGGATATAAAAGTAAATGAATATAGGATTTTCTTACTAATTCGTATTGAATATTTAATTTGTAATGGGTTCTTCCAGTTTTTATCGGGTCAGGTTCTATGAATTGGACTATATTTATCTCTTAGCCTTTTGCCCGGCTTTACTTACGAGCTAAACAAAATGCAATAGTTATTGATTGTTTATGTGTTTCTAAACAGCATTCATTATAATCGAATTCAGTTCTCAACTGCCGTAATGTTTGAACATGCCATCTTCGTTAAAGAGAAATATATGAGAAAGAATTTGAGAAAATTTCTAAGGGGTTGCATACGTGGGCCAGGCCTTACCTCTTGCATAGGTTAGTTTATCTTTGTGGTACTCGCCAGTTGGCGCAGCATATTTTTGACTAGTTAAGACTAGGCCCTAAACTATGCTACACCGCTGACAAGTACTTAAACAAAGTATGTCATTTGAATCTATGGTAAACGAAACGTTTACGCGGCTATTTCGGACTTGAAAAGTTAAAGCGCCCATTTTTGATAATAGTATAGTTTATATGAATTTTAAATTGGTTTTTTATTATTATTGTTGTTGATAGAGTGAGTGAGTGGGAGAACACTGGATAAGCGTGTGATATTTTTGAGTGTTGAACAGTAGTAAAGAGTAGTACAGTTATAAGTAGTATAGTTTGAAGAGGGTTGAACAGGGTTCATTAGATGCCGTACTACATTCCGTATTCGATGGCCTCGAAATATATGTTACATATGTTAGGTGTAAGAAGTTGATAAATTAAGATGTAAGAGCAACAGTGATAGAATGCGTTTCCACAAACCGATTGATTGCCATTGCCTGAGCTGGACGGTGTACACTTACAGATAACTTACCAACACTGGCACACAATCAATTGTTGAACGGAAACGCCAATTTAAACAGTCTTAGTTTCGAACGGAACGAGTTCGGAACTTTAGCTCGCAACCTGAACCCTGCTTCAGTTTAGAGAGAGAGTTGAGTAAGAAATATCTAATGCCATGTTTTTTTAGGGAGTCTAATATAGTATATGAAAAAGTACTGCTTTATTCAAATACTAGAAGACCTTAGGCTTTTAAGGCTTAAGGCAAGTCCGTTGTGTGTGTGTCAAAGATGGAGAAACAAGTTTCATTTTGTCTTTTCTGTTGCTGGGCAAACGAATTTCACACGGACACTACTATATACATATAAATATGTATATAGCTAGAGAATGACAATGCCAATGCTTTGGCAGTCATTTCTCAATTTTTCTAATGTGTATGTTTTCGTTTCATTTGTCTGAGACAGAAATATTGAGAGACAGAGTACGTGAGTTACTTAAAGTCAGCAACGCCTGCCCCCGCTCTAAAGCCAGTTTATTCTATTTTTTTTTTCAAGCGAATCGTTTGTTTTTCTTCTTTCTGGCATTGGCTTACTCACCCAGTAGTTCCCACTCGCCGTTGAGCACGTAACTGCTGATATCACCGCCAGTTTCATCTTGTAATTGTAAATCCAGCTTTAGTTACAATGGGGAGAGGGTAGAATAATATAAATATATATATCGCTACGCCATCTCCACCTCGATATGAATCGAATAAACAAAAAAAAATCATAAATAAATAAAAATCAACTGAAGAAATTATAAAAGTTTCGCAAAATGATTCGTATAAGCATAACAACTACGAGCTGTGTACTCCCTGGTTGCCTTGCTTTTTTTTCGCATACTCGGTCGACTGAATCAAACCTGAAATCCATCATAGGTCCAACTGCCGAACTTCATTTCGCAGCGCTGATCATCAAAGGGAAACCACGTGATGTCGATTTTGCATGTTGACTTGAAGATGCCCGGTGGCACGTACAGGCAGGAGCCGTTGTTGCGCACCACCACATTCGTCTGGTAGGTGCCATCGAAGCCCTCGTCAGCGCTGTTGTACATCAGTACGTCCGGCTTCCAGATGCGATGCGGCGGTATCCGCAGATCCTTAACACCGCCATAGTCGGAGGTATTCCAGCGCAAATTCATATCGTTCCACTCCAGTTTTAGCCACACGTTCGTGACCAGCAATTGATTTTTCTCATCCTGCGACAGACAATAACAAATTTAATTAAATGACGGGTTGCAAAAACAAACCTAATTTAATATTCAATTAAAAAATAGAATTGACAAATAGTTTGTTACAGAATTGTGTTCTAATTTAACCGCACCAGGAAAAAAAATTCCATCATAATTACAACATACATATTTATAAATGTATGTTGTTAAAAACTTTTTAAGCTGCTAGCTAATAGCAACTTTTTAAAAATTTTTTTTTTCATTTATACAAATTTTCGATTAAATACTTAGGTCCAAGCTCTAAAGCAACCAGTAAATTCTTTCTGTTAAGTAATGATTAATTTCATTCTTTCCTATATATCGTATACAAATATACACATATATTTGCTTATTTTATTCCAGGTCTACAACTTGATAGTCTTAATTTCGGATATATCCTTATCTATATATACTTTAATATATAGATAAATTTACCAGCCAACAACTGTTGTAATAGTTTAAACATATATATTTTCATTGTTTAAAGGGAAATATAGAAGAAAATAACAAACGAGATACAATTAACTTTTGACATATTCTCAAGTTCATAAGCCCACATTTAAAGTCTTATTTTGCAGCATTATTAAAGCTCGGCAGTCTACTGCATAGCTTAAAAGGCTTATGGAACAATTTGTTCTGCACACAATAATAACAAATATGTACAATAAGTCCCTCCCTTGGGGTTTATGGATTGCCACGGGCTTTTTCATCAACCATCAAGCTGTTGCATAATTGAAGAGCGGCAGCAAGCGACAAGCGAAAACCATTTCAATTTACAGGAACTTTAATCAAGCGAATTAAATTTTTAAATGCGGGCTAACCAAATGATGGGAAAAAATGATACAACCTTTTCCCCAAGCGCGTGGTCCAATAACCAAATCCGTGCATTACAATAAAAACCAGATGCAACAGAAACAAGAACAACAGCGTCAACAACTGGCAAACAATTGTAAAAAATGCATAAAGCGCACACAAGGCGTATGTGTAATTTACAATTAAATGCCTGAAATATTCACGAGCGCGCGCGCCGGGCATGAAAAATGCCAAAAAACCAAATCTCTGGGCGCTTAACTAACGTTGCAAGCCAAACAGTGGACGGGGGAGGGGGGTGGGAGAGAGTGTGCGGCTATGTGTACTGTTAGCCGTGCCTGTCATTGCACAAATATTTTGACCGAGCAATTTCCGGGTATGAACTGTGCGCAAGCTGCAAGTGCAATCACAAAATGCGCCAAGCACCAACAACAAAAGCAACAGCATCAAAAAAATTGCGACAGAAATGCGGTAAAATGAAATGGAGCAATGGCCAAGCCAGGGCAGGCCGAAAAGGTCCCGCCAGCTGCCTAGAGGCGTGACCAAAATGCAGTCGTCAATACGTATTTATACCCTGTACATATAGGAGAAGGAATAGGAAAAGGGTATATCAAAGTTGCGCAAATGATTGAAACAGACAGAAGCCCGCATCCTTATATATTAATGCGCATCAAAATTAGAGTTTAGTTTATTTATTTTGGATGTATGTTTGTCTATTTCATAATTTTGAATGCGTTCTTCGTCTTTTTTATCTTTTATTAATTAAAATTATTATATATGTTATTAGTATTTACAGAGTATCTGCCAGTTGGCTACTCTGAAATTAAGTAGACTACTTTTTATTTTTGGTTCTTTTTTTTCGGTACTAACAAAATCGAACAGCTAGCATATAAAACCAAACAGTGGCTAACGGAGTTGCTTTCAATTCAGGATGCGGCAAGAAGTGTGCACAGGACACGTAATATTGCGGCCATACCAAACGCAACAAAAACAGCTGCATCTGTCTCTGCTCGCTCTTGCTCTCTCTCACTCTCTGCTCCTCTATCTCTTTCTAAATATAACCATTACATTATTGCAGTTGACTGCAGTTTCCATTTTACTCACTTTATTTACCAGCTAGCTCTCCCACCACAAAATTTACAGAACCGCTGGAAAGTATGCTATGCTTTTTGTCCATGTTTCCCTCTCGTGTGTGTTTGTGTGTGTGTGTGTGTGCGCGCGTCCGGCGTCAACCTAATCAAATTCGTTTTTCAACAAATTACAACAGAAAATTGGTTTTTGTGCGTTCCGGTTAGTGGGTTATTACTGTACGAATGCCTGGCGTGGGAGGGGCGTGCTTTGTGAACAGTCGCATAATTCCCGTTTGGTAGCCCAATTTACCAGATTGTTGCAGTCGCGCATTTTGGCGGTGCTTAGCGCAAAGTGCTATTGGATATTGTATAGATTGCTAAAGCGTTTAGAGTGTATTCAAGTTTATTTTCTGTTACAGCTGCTGTACCACTTAAACCTGCAAGAAATCGTATTAAGTACACTTTACATACCTAACTGAGACCTTAACTCCCACACATAATTTCACAATTATCTCATTAAAAGTTTTAAATATATATACATTCTCTAGATGATGACACGACAGGAAATTTAAAAGTAACGAAAGGGAATGGATAATGGATATTCAATGAAAAGTGAAGGAAAATTTAATGGGCTTTGCTGAAAGAAATAGATTTTGCGATTTAATAAAGAAATTCAAAAGTAATTGCATGAAGCGAAAATAAAAATTGTTACAGTGGAAAATACAATTATTTATATATATTTTCACTTGATTAAATGTATATTTATATTTTAATTAAGTCCCACATCACATTTGGCATCTGGTAACTCTCTTGTCCGTGTTGCCTCTCCAGTTATTTGCCTAACTTTCTATGCATTTCCTAGTCAGCAGCGCTGCAGCTCGTATTCCCCGCGCTCTAAATGTAATTCCTATTTCTATGCAAGTTCGTTTGCAGCAGAACTTTCAACACAATTATAAAGCTGAATGCGAAAAAAAGCCGACGAAAAATGGCAGAAAAATATAGGCTAAGAAATAAAAGCAATAGACAAAAAAAAAAGGAGCAAGTTTAATTAAAATAAAAATGTGGGCACAGGGGCGTGGCAGAAAAAAAGAGAGAGAATCGAGGAGAAAGCAGCGGGAAAGCCAGACGAATGCGAAATGGTAGCCACAGAAATTGTGGCGCTCACTTTTCGTCGCCTTCGGTGCCCTCTGTAGTTGTTGCATGCATGCAAATCAGCAGACAGCAGGGGGGAATGTGGCGGGAGGGGAGAGCGTCTAGGCGTATAGTGCGCGGTTGATGTGTATTTTATTTTTTTTCTTTTTTAGTGAAGTCACGCATCGAGCAACATACGAAACATAAACGAGGCTTATTCCCATTCAAAAAGTGCGAACGTGTATATGGCACGCGCTGTCTCTTTTACACACCAACGTTCTCTCTCTCTTGCTCTCCCTCTATCACGCTGATTCGTGCTCTTTCTGTGTGGCGAAAATGGCAGCAGCGGCAGTTGTTGAATTTCAAATGAGCGAAAAAAAAGCAGCAAACGGCAAAATTATTACAGGCAAGTTTCTGTTGCCTGTGCGGTGTGCCACGCCCCGCTACCCGCCGCCCAAAGACAAGTTTTCGGCTGGCGTATAATTTGCATATATTCCATACACACTTACAACGCACGCACACACACACACACACACACGCGCGGCAACTGCAGCAGTTCATTGACATGCGGCGCGTTCAGGGAATTTAAAAGCAATGGTAAAAATAACTGTAGCATAAAACGCGGCGCGCATTCCCCACGCACACGCACACTCAGGCAGGCCTAGTTTCTTATTGTGCTGTGCACTAAAATAAAAAAAAAAATATTATTACGCCTTGCTCTTTGCCCGAGTTCATTACTCATTTGCGCTGATATCCGCCGATATGCCAGCGGCTTTCGCCCGCTGCCTGCCGCCTATCTTGACGCTCTCTACTTAATCACTTTTCGTCCTTGTCATTGGCTCCTCTTCTCCCTCGCTCGCTCGCACTCTTTCGCCTTTCTTTTTGTTTTTGCTCTTTCTCTGTTTGTCTGCTGCTCATTGACGCCAATTAATCTGCGACTCGCTTTGTCTGCGCCTTTTAATTAATGCGCCTGGGAGTTGGTTTTATTTTTTTTATATTTTTCCTTCTACATTTTGTTGCTTTTTATTTCTTCGTTAGTTCTTTGGCGTCTTTTTGACCGGATTTTGTTGGGGTTTCGTTTATCGTCCTCGTTCATTTGTCGTTATGTGATTACCGCAGTTGCACAAAATGTATTTTTTTAACTTTGTTCCTTTTCACAGATTTGTGTTTTAGACTAGATATCAATATATTCAAGACAGACGGCAAGTGGTTAGTGTTGAAAAAGGCTAAATGATAGTATAATTAAAAGTATCGATACTTTAAAATATTCATGTATGCATTTCACATATAATTCTTAAGGTTTTTTGTTGTATGAAGATTTAATAAAAAATAATAGCACAAATGTAAAACTTTCGCAGCTCAAGAGAGATCCTTTAACAACAAAAACTAATTTAAAAAAGATAAATTCCAAATCTATTTTGCTAGATTCCGGTTTTCAGGCTACCAAGAGACTTTAAATAATTACATACAGCTTCGGGCTATAGACCAAAAAATTATTGAGACTTTATTGTAATGGACTTCTGGCAGTCTCATCGACTTGATAAAAGATCTAAAATCTATAAATTGAAGCTAAGTCGTGAACAGTTACGAAACTAGATAAAACCTCGGTTTTCCAGAATTGTGTATTCACATCTATTGTAATTTGTTTGTAATACATAAGATTGTCAAGTAAAGTTTCACATGCTTAGAAAATTTATTGGTTTTAAAGAATTTTTCTTAAAAAGCATCACATAATTTTGTACATATACAAATAATAAATAGGCCAAACTTTTGCAGAAGTATGTGTGCCAAGTCAAAGAATTTTAGCAAAAATATTTACTCTATTCACGTCGGATTTTTAATTCGATCGATATTTTTTCTTCAAAATGAAGATTTAGTTGAATTGCGAATTTAATTAAAAAACACGTGCGTATTTTGCCCAGGTAGAAATTAATAGAAAATATGAGAGCAAGAGAAGTTTTGTGGCATGCGACGTGC